TTAAATAAAATTAATTAGCAAAAAAACAAATAAAATGAAATTTGAATGTTTTGTATATTAAAATATATGACTAGATAGGGAAAATATATATGAAATAGGAATTAACTTATTTTTCTAAGGATTTTCTTTATTTAATTCAATTATTTAATAATTGGTACATTTGGTTTTATTAAATGATTCTTGTTTGGGGATAAATCAGACTATTTCTTATTAATCTATTTTATTTTAGGGATAATTAGTGAAAACTTCCAACTCATTTACTTATATTAACGTGGATATAACCTCCGTTTCATTATTAATGAGACCCCCTACCTTATATTAAATAAAATATTTTCTAATTAATATTGTATTTGACATGACTAATATACCTAATTTACCCTTCTATATTATATTTAAAATAATCAAACATATTTCACGTTATCTCTATTACTCTTCTTCCCCTCTCTCTTTTCTCTCTACATACCGCCGGCTCCAACCCCCTTTCATTTATGCGCCGCCGCAGCCATTCGCTGCTACCTCTTTCGCTACCTCATTCGTCGTTGCAGATATTCAGGTTGACATGCCTAGGGTTCAGAGCGATTCTAAAACGACGGTACAACAACGGCATCGACACCTTTATTCGTTGATCCACAAGGTATATTGACCATATCATGAATCCCATCACCATCCGGAGTCAGATGATCTGATATAGGTGGATTTAGATTTTAGGATTGTAGTGGTGGAATTAGTTTTTCCAAAAGTGTGATTTGTTGAATTGCTTGAAGGGTGATGCAGGGAGAGTCATTCTAATTTGTTTTGTGTTAATAATTCTTATTCTTCTTTTCATGTTTTGATGTTGCTAATTGATGAACAAACTTTGAATTTTTTTATTACACAGTGTATATTTTTTTACGTTTTTTCGATTTAAATACGTAGTTGATTATAGGCTAACTTAAGAACATTTTAATAGTTGATTTTGATATGTTATATATAGTTGTTTTCGATATGTTATAGTTGTTTTCGATAACTTAATTTGTAATTGATTTCAATACTTTGGAGTTGATTTCAATAATTTTGTAGTTGATTTTCACAATTGTATATATAGTCAATTTCGACAATTTTATATATAGTTGATTTCCACAATTTTACATTTTATCTAAATTTGTTTCATAGTTGATTTCGTACTTCGTAGTTGATTTTATTGAAAAAGAAAAAAAAATAGTTGATTTCAGGAAAGCTTAAATAGTTGTTTTGTAGTTGATTATTTTTTCTGATAAAGATGTAACTGTAAACAACTATTTTGTTTAGTTGTTTTACAGTGTTTCTGGGGAAACGAACAAAAAAGTAGTTGTTTTCAATAATTCTATAGTTAATTATGGAAAAAATCGAAAAAACTGAAAATTTAAATAAATAGAAGAACCTGATTTTTTAATCATTTTTAAATAGATAAACGAACAAAAAATGATTTTTAATAAGAAATAAAAATTATGGGTAATGGAAAGTGAATAGAGGGAGAGTAAATTTGGGAATACAGAAAGTGATGAGTCTCTCGCTAATAAGTGAAAGGGGCTGGACCCATGCTTATTTAAAAAAATACTATATGGGGTTTCAGTAATAGACCCTTTATTTTAGGGGATTATTTCACAAAACCCCCTCATCACATAAGTGCAATTACAATGAGCCCAAATTTATTTCTTCTTTTTAAGATAAATCCAAAACATCTTTTATTAATAAAAATTAATTAAATATCACAATTATACCCTTACCTTATTATAAGGTATTTTAGGGTTGAATATAAATATACGTAATATATGTTCCCTTAATATCACCTTCTCAATCACTCCCACAAATCTCGCTCCACAAATCTCGCTTCTTAAACATAATAACGTGTATCTCTTTTTTTCTCTGTAGATTTTATTTTTCTCCTTTTTTTGTTCTATTCACCGTTGCACATCTCCTTCCGTTCAGTCATTCTTCTTTCCCCACCCGACGCCACCCCAGCCCCACCCGGTCCGCCCCATCAACGAACCACATCTCTGACTTGGCATCGTCCAGCAAAGAACCCATGGAAGCTGCAGTTTCAGGTTTCGAAAGAAAGAGGAACAGACGGAGGCGGGATGGCTTCAACGGGGAGGCGGAGGTGGTCCGGTCGTACTCCTCGATCATGTTATCCAGGTCTTCGTCGGAGGAGAGTGATATAAGAGAGTCGAGATCTTCAGTGGGGAACTGGTATTTGAGGGTGAAGTGGCGGCCGTTGAGGAGGGTGTGGGAGAGGCGGGAGTGGAGTTCGGCAAGGGAGGAGTGGCGCTCCACCACCACGACGCGGGTGTCGCCGCCCACGTAGCAGAGGGATTTTTCGTGGGGGCGGGGGATGATGTGGCCGCCGTAGCTGCACATGAGGCGGAGCTTGGCGGCACCGGGGACAGGCGGAAGAGGGTTGTCATCCCAGGTTGTGTCTGTGCGGGAGTGAGGTGAAGAAGTGGCGTAGAAGTCAGGGTGGTTGGAGGAAGTGGGGAAGAAAGAGGATGGTGGATCCTTCACTCATTCCATTCTTCACAATCTCCATATTAATTCAATTGGCGTACCCAGTCACGCATTGGGGAGACGTACAAGTCCTGAAGCAGCTTATGAGTACAATCACACAAAAATCAGTTCCACCTGCATTGATTCATGGGACTTTTGTTAATATGATAAGTTTATATTGAATTTTTGTAATGAAAATGGTTAGTTTCATAGTGATTTTCGTTAATTACAGAGTGGTTTTCGTTAATTACATAGTGGTTTTTGTTAATTACAGAGTGGTTTTCGTTAATTACATAGTGGTTTTTGTTAATTGATAAGTTTGTAGTAAATTTTTGTAATTGAATTTGTCAATTACATAGTGATTTTCATTAATTACATAGTGGTTTCATTAATTACAGAGTGGTTTTCGTTAATTGATAAGTTTTTACTGAATTTATGTAATGGAACTTGAGTGATTTTTGTTAATTAAAGAGTGGTTTTCATTAATTATAAAGTGGTTTTTGTTAATTGATAAGCTTTTAGTATCATGAAACTATTTTTTTTAATTATAGAGTGATTTTTATTAATTACATAGAGATTTTCGATAAGTTTATAATGAATTTTCGTAACATAATACTATAATCATATAGTGGTTTTTGGTAAGTTTATAGTGAATTTCAATTTGTTAAAAATATTTTTTTTAATAAATTTAAATAAAAAAAAAAGATGTATAAATAAAACCATTTAAAAAATTAAAAAAATATGACAAAACTTAAACATAAATAAAAAAAAACCTCAATTAATTAATAAATTAATGGAAGGAGAAACAGCCGTGATAGAAGAGAATAGTGGGATGGTGGGGGAGAAAATATGGGGATTTACATATCTACCAAAAAATTATGGATTTTTTAAAATAATATAATATGGAAATTGTATGTAATATTAAATAGGGGTATTTTGGATAATTTGAACTAATTGGGTTTATAACAAATATCAATTAAAAAAATTGGATTTATCAAGAAGTCAAATTTCAATGAGGGGTGTTTGACAAATAGCCCCTTATTTTAGTGCAATAAATAAATTTAAGTGAAAATGATAGATACGTAATTGCTCAAATTGTTATAGACCCTTTATTCATTTTCTAGGGAACCCAAAATCATTTCTTGATTCAACGGTTCAGATTTAATCTATTTAAAATGAATGGTAATTTATATATGAGGTATCTGACCTCAACCAGTTTTGGAGCTATCTGACGCTAAAAAGATCCACATAACAAAGCATAAACTCATGTTTTGAGTTATCACAAACTTCTTCCTTCTTGTGAGTTACAAGTTGCCGGGTAAGTAGTTGATTTTGTTTTGGAAGTTGAAAGAATTGAAAAAAAAAAACAAAAAACAAAACCTAGTTTCATTTTAATTTAAACTTTAAAAAAAAAGATTTATTGACCCGATATATCGGTTAGACCCGCCACAAATTGCCTCGTTGTAAAAGAGCCGATATTCCAAACTGCTTCAGCAAAATCGTAAAAATTTATAACCGATACCGATATGGTGACCGATATATTGACCATCACGACCGCTATTTAGAACACTGATTTTATTACGTCCATTCATGTTAATTATGTTATTTTGAAATATTTTATTTATTTATCTATACAAAATCAGGTAAAAATAAATAAATAATGCATCTCAATTAATTATCTAGCTCAAAGCACTATATTATAACTTGAAAATTAAATTAACTAAGAATTATATCAATTTACTAACTAATGATAAATTTCATTTTTTTTTTATTTCTTGAAACTTTATATTAACACAATGAATATTTGACTATAATTTAATATTTGGGGAGCAATTTTAGAGAGAACAAAAAATACGTTTGATTATTTTTTTGATTTGGAGAGTATTATAATACCTTCGATCCATTTTAAGAGAGGAGTTAGGTGTATATGTGCCACGTGGAACCCAAAATCTGGGAACAGATTTTGGAGAATACTATAATAAAGTGTCTTTTTTATTTCACAAAATTATCATTTGTGTCTTTTAACCTTCTCTTTCTTATTTCTTTAATCTACTATAAATCATGAATGTTCATTAGGGTGTAAAGATGAAAAAAATATATTAAGCAAAACCTTAATATGGAATTAATTATCTAAATGAAGTGACAATTAAAATAGAAAAAATAGAAGTATTGCTTAAGTTTTGGTTGAATTTTTAAACTAAATCATACCTCAAAAGAAATTTATGTAATTATTGAAACCTCTAGGCGTTAATGAAAAAAAGAATACAGAGAGATGCACTCACATATCTAAAGATAGGGTGTGTATATATTATATATTATATGGGAAATAGCAGAAGTAACTTTATCGAGAAGGTCATACGCTTTTTACTGGTTTGGCGTCTCTTATACTTACGTTGATGTTCATAAACTTAAGATATATATATATATATATATATATATATATATATATATATATATATATATATATATATATATATCACTCAACTCATGCAATAAAAATGGAAGGAGAAGTTGCAATATCAGGACATTTTTTCAACGTGATGGTGCGTGGTTTCCACAACCATCTGGTGAGCATATTTCATTGTCTTCTTTTTTGAATATATATATATATATATATATATATATATATATATATATATATATATATATATAATATACTATACATATTCCACTGTTTGAAAGTTTTAGTAAAATGTGGTAGCTTAATTTCGTTACATGGTAATTGGTATGTGAAACTGCTTCTGTTAGATTTTTTTTTTATAAAAGTTTAGGCAATGTTTGGAAGCGTTTTGGATCTTATTTTGATTTCATTTTGAGGAAATATTTTTTGGGGGAATAATTTGAGAATGAAAGTAATGTTTGTTTGTATTTTTTGGAAGGAGACAAAATACACTGTAGCAGTCAAATCATGTTTAAAGGTGTTAGAAAAATGTATTTTTTAAGAAAAAAATTGAAAGATGAAGTGATGTTTATTTGTTTTTTAGTGAAGACATTTTTTACTGTAGCAGTCAAATCATTTTACTGCAGCAGTCACATCATGTCTGAAGGAGAGATAAACTTTTGAAATTGTTTTGAGAAAATGATTTGAAAAGTGTAATAAATTTCATTTTGTTTTGGGGAAACAATGAAAACAAAATAAAAATGGTTCCAAACATTGCTTAAGTTTTCGTCTGGGGTTTCTCGAACCGTGAGATTAGCGGCCTTACAAAGTCATAATTTATACAAGATTACGTGCGGAAATTATATATTATATGTATATCATATAATATATATGATTTTTTTTCTTGGGATATATAGTTACATATTAGCTCGAGCTCCTATACTATACCACTAAAACGATTATCGACCCTGTAATTATAAAATGAATAGTGGTTCATATGGATACCTATCTTTTGCACTTTTCGACATATAATTAGAGGTATAATATGATGACGAAAAAAATGTAATTATCCCGGTTTTTCTTCGTTGAAGAGATGACTGCACTTTTGTAATTGCTTGGTTGAATCATCAAATCCCAAATATAACCTATCATTGTTTTGCTTGTAATAAAGAACCTGCCATCATCTTTCTGTGAGAAGCTAAAAGACGAGAATTCGAAACGGGCGATTTTGAAAAGTCGTATAGGGAAATGGAAGATCGATGTGTGCAGAAACGGCGAAGGGATAATACGTTTCGAAAATGGATGGCCTCAATTTGTCCGTGACCATGGCTTGAGTATCGAAGATTTTGTGGTGTTTGAACACACCGGTGATTTTCACTTCAACATTTCCATTTTCGATCACACTGCGTGCGAAAAGGAGTTTCCTGTTGAGTCGAAGAAAGAGCACCAAGAAAACAGCAAGAGTAATCTCTCCATTACACACACACACACACATATCATGTGAGTATATTAGGAGAGCAATTAAGCTAACTTGGATGTGTTGTAGGAGAATCGGACAAGGCAAATGTTACATTCTACCACACCCGAAACCCACACTTTTTCTTGACAATGAAACCGTCTTTTGCTCTGAAAACTCCTGGAGTGGTGAGTTCATCACACACACACACACACACACACACACACACACACACACACACACACACACACATATATATATATATATACATGTTTGAAACAAGTAGTTAATGGTACTAATAACTATATCCTTTGTATAATTTTCAGCATATTCCAGTAGAATTTGTGAGGTCAGTTAACCTAAGCCAGAAGTCTAGTATAACTTTAATGGATCCTCAAGGAAGAGAGTGGCCAGTTAAACTCAGACTTCAAACAAAAAGTCGACTACGCGCCAGAATGTACTCAGGTTGGCACGATTTTTATGTATCTAACGAGCTAAAGAATGGAGATGTTTGTGTTTTCGAGCTCAATAGTACTTCTCCTCGATGCACAACTGCTTTATTTAACGTGCAGATTTCCCGTGCTACCGTCTAAGCAATCAATCGACTCAGCTCTTGCGTGATGTTCTTTCAGTAGTTGTGTCAATTCCCCTTTTGGAGTATTAGGGATTCTTGATACAATCTTATTCATGTACTACTTTTCTGGGTATCTATTTGTTTTCTATTTGGCGCAATTGATAGCTAATACCCTGTTTTTTGGGACATTTTTCTTGCTATAATATGACAGAGCTTCAACTTGATTTCAGTATTACAGGCTCGATTCAAAGTTATCGATCAAATGAATATAAATATTTACACTTCATATTAGTTACTTTTCAAATATGGGATGCATTTCACAAAAGAAACTCAGACAAGAACAAAAAAATGCGACCAGTTCGTCTTTCTAAGCAACTTCAAGAAGGCTTCTTATGCATTTCCCCATTTTCGAAATAGCATTCGGCATAACATCAGGTGAAATACATTCCTCAAAACCGGAGAAGCTAACAACGGAACATTAAAGAAGAAACATCTCAACACCAGAATGATTTCAAAACAAATCTGGGAATAACATGAACCGAGTGTAGTACTAATTATCGGCGTAATAAGCTCTGTATCTTGTACAAATCATTGCAACTCATTATTCTCAAACATTCAAAACTTATTATACGCAATTCCCATTTAGACAAAGATCAGCTTAAGACAGGAATTTAAGGAAAACGAGAAAATAGACGAAGCAAATAGCAACCGTTCGACCCTAAATGAAATAGAAAAGCAAGCTAGACTTGAAGGTGGGATTATCACTATCCGTTTTTATATGGCCATCATATCACCGTACTGGCGCATCAAGATAATTGATCCAGCAAAGAGCCCTCCTGCACGAAGTAATTTCTGCAGTGAAAGAAAATCGAATTAGAAAAAAGGCATTTTATACCAAAAAAGAGAAAAGGGAATACAAAATAGTTGTCAGTCGAATAATCTCTGTTAATAAGGCCCCGTTTGGTTGGTAAAATAAGATAAGCCAAGATAAGATTAAATAATCCAATGAAACCCAATTATTTTATCAGAGCTCGCGACGTCCCACAAAAATCACACACTAGAAGGCAAGATAAGCCATGATAACATAATTTTGGCGGGTCGACCCGGCTATTTATTGGGGATACCAAACATCAAATAAAGTCCAACTATTTAGTTAATTATAGCTTATGTTGGCAACCAAACGGGGCCTAAGCGTCTAGGACATAACATTTAATAGTGCAAAATAGATGAATTGCACTATCTTGTTAAGAACGAAAAACAGAAAGCAAACACTAAATGAGAGTTTTTAATAACGCAAAAAATGAAAGCAAGAACATTGAAATCACTAATCCTACCCCAGCTTGATGAACTGAGAGTTACTCGACAACGGCAACATTCAGCCAAATAAATGGGGAACAAAAAATCATCTACTAAACAAGAAAAATCGAAAAATTTGTTGCCTACTGTCGAACATTGAGATGCTATTTGCTTTTTACTCAAACTATTAATACATCTATCTTTTTCTACACCTAAACTTGCATACAAACATCAAATATGGCCGTGAAATAGACTATTGTATTAGATAGCCAATATCTTGTACTATCTTGTTAAGAATGCAAAACAGAAAGAAAAAACTAAAGCAAAAAATCAAAGCACAAAAACATTGGCATCACTCGTCCCAGCCCAACATGATGGATTGGGAGTTATTTGCCCCCGTTAACATTCAGCTAAATAAACGGGGAGCAAAAAGTCATATACTACTATCAAGAAAAATCGAAAACATTCTTGCCTATTGTCGAACATTATGACGTTATTTGATTTTGACTCAAACAATTATCAATCTATATGTTTCTAAACCTAAACTTATGTACAAACTACAAACATCAACGATCGCTGTAAAATCGACTATTGTCCTCGATAGCCAACAGCTTATGGGATTTGGAGCTCAAATACTCTTAAAAGTGTTGCGACAAGAGAAACTTCAATTTCATCATGTTAACTATTTTCAATATACATAAAATTAACTATTTTCTATCACCCAAACAGATGAAAATTGGAAAATAATTGGGGATTATCGAAATTTGAACCACAATTAATTTTATCCAAAAAAAAAAATAGCAACGGGAAACAACGGATTCACACATAAAGCCCGAATTGAACTGGATAAAAATGAAGTGCCTGAATCTAGCGAGGTTAAAAAGAAACACATCAAAGAAAGGGAGAGTAATTGATTGTGAACGGGGAAAAGTCAGCAAATTAGGTTAAAATGGTAATAAAAATACCATGTTGTGATCCCATTTGTCGGGGTCGTGGACCTGAGAATGCCAAAAAGCTTTGATACTGTCCAGAGAGATCGATTTATTCGCCATCGAAGTTCTTTTCTTCTTCTAGAGTGAGAAAACTGCGTTTATGCGTCTGTGGTTGGGTGTGTGTTTGTGCAGGGGTTAGGGTTTTGTATTTCTTTTTCTTTCTTTCTCCTTTTCTCTTTAAATAAATAAACAAGTGCCCAAGGGCATTCCCAAAGTTTCTTAAAAAAATATATAAAACAATATATTTTTTTGGCACATTTAAGTAAGCTCATCAAATGGAAATTATTTATAAAGGGGCCACACAAAAAAATCCACTTAATTGTTCAGAATTTTGTAAAAGACTGAAATAGTCAATTACAATTTATTATGCTCCAATTTCATCATTTTATTTAATTTAATCTCAACTTGACCCCAATTTCATAAATTATTCATTTTTGAACCAAAACGCAATTATAAGTACAATTTCGCCCATCATCGCCGTTGATCGGTGCTCAACTGCCGTTGACCGCCGGCGTTATTTTTTTTTTCTTTTTCCACCGGTTTTCAACATTGACTTTTTCGATTTTTTTTTTCTGCTTCTGCCGCCGCTGACTGCCGGTCAACGCCGGTCTCCGGCGGCGTTGATTTCTTTTTTTCTTTAACATCTTCTTGCCCTGTTTAAACAACAATATTGATGTGGTTGACAATAGTATTAACCATATTACTGTTAAATACAGTAATATTAACTATACTACAGTTTAACACAGTAATATTGCTATATTAATCTCTAGTATAGTAATATTAACACAACAAAAGTTATTATTATTGTGTAAATAGAGTAAGAGGGTGTTTGACTAAGTTTATCAGATGTTAAAAGGAGCTTATAAGCTCTTCCAAAGTGTTTGGTAAATTTTTAGAAAAAGATCTTATAGTTTTTTAAAATAAACTGTTGGAGAGCAAATAAGATCTTTTTAAATAAGTACCTCCACCCCACCTTTTTATTTAAGATCTTATAATGAGTAAAAATAGAAAATAAGCTCATTATCCAAACACTCTAAAAAATAAATCCTAAAAATAAGATGTAACAGCTTATCAGCTCTTAAAACATCTTATCAGACGTAAGAGCTTATCAGCTGTTTAAAATAAGCTTAGCCAAACACCCTCTAATATTAGTATGCTGACCGTTCAACAAAGGTAAACATAACAAAAAGCCAAAATAATTAATATTGATGTGGTTGATAGTAATATTATTGGCATCCATAGTAATATTCATGTAACAACACTAATATTCTGTCAACCACAGTAATATTATTGAGTTTACAGTAATATTACAATAGAAGACAGTAATATTATTACTATTATTAGGTTAATCCTTCAACAACTCAAACAAAACAAAAAACACAAAAAACATAACATTTGGGTGTGGTTGACAGTATTCTTGTCGTTGTCTGTAATTGTACTGTCAACGACAGTACAATCACGTTAATGTACTGTCAGTGACAGTATTTGTACTGTTAACGATAGTACAATTACGGTCAACGTTTAGCGGCGGGGGTAAAAGAACGCAAAAAATAATTGAAAAAGTCAACGCCGGAAACCGGCGGCAAAAAAATAATTTAAAAAAATAGTTTTAAAAAAGTCAAAATGGTGAAAATTGATTAAATTGGGGTTACAGTTAAGAATTTGGTATAAAAGGTTGGGTGTAATTTTGTCATATACATTAATTTCTTTTTTTTTTTATTTATAATACATATTAAATGGATGAGCTTATTGGCGAAAGAGATATGACCCTAAACTAGACTAATAAAGATGGTTGGTGAAGCACTTAGAGGGTGTTTGGCTAAGCTTATTTTAAACACCTGATAAACTCTAACGTCTGATAAGATGTTTTAAAAGCTGATAAGCTGTTACATCTTATTTTTAGGATTAATTTTTTGGGTGTTTGGATAATGAGCTTATTTCTCATTTTTACTCATTATAAGATCTTAAATAAAAAGGTGGGGTAGATGTACTTTTTTTATAAGATCTTATTTGCTCTCCAACAGCTTATTTTTAAAAAATTAAGATTTTTTTAAAAAAAATTACCAAATACTTTGGAAGAGCTTATAAGTTCAAAAATATCTTATAAGCTCATTTTAACATCTTATAAATTTAGCCAAATACTCTCTTATGCAAAAAACCCCTTTATTTTTATGATCTAAAATACTAAAACTAAGGCGAGTTTGTGATTAGCTAGTTTAACAATTTTTTATTAGTTGTGTAGTTTTTATCAGCTTGGGTATTTATCATGTGTTTGTTTATAAACTTTCTACAAATCTATTGAAAAAAAATGAGAAATAAAATAATTATGCTATAATTACTTCATCGTATTTGCGTGTGTTTATGATGTTTATAAGTGGGGGCAATTTTATTTTTTTGGTGTAGTTTTAGATGCTAGTTTTTAAAATGGGGTTGTTTTGGGAGGTGTAACCGAATTGGGGTTGAGCGCCACCCACCACGGTGGCACCGGCAGGAGGCGCCTCCGCCGGTGGTGGCACCGACAGGAGATGCCAACTCCAACGGCGTCTCTCTGGATTTTTTAAATATTTATGTTTTAATATATTATTTTTGAATGGTCTAGATTGAAAGTTTGATCCGACGGTCCAGATGAAGACAGCCAGATCAAGACAACATGGGGAAGCGCACTTTGACCAGAAGACGCCGCTGACAACGGCGTCTCGTGAAGACGCCGGTGTCGGTGGCGTCTTCACTCTCTCTCCTCCCCGCACAGCTCTTCTTCCCCCGCTTCAGCTCAACTTCTCCACCTCCACCTTTTTACTCTCTGTTAAATTTAAAAAACAAAAAGAAAAATTATTTTTAAAATTCAAAATAAAATATATAATTACCTCCAGCGACCTCCTCCGTTGGTGCCGCCGCCGACGCCGCCTGCCCGCCGCTGCCTCCATCGCCGTCGCATTCCCCGCCGCCGGTGCTCCTGTCACCGCCGCCGGTGCTCCGTGGTCCTTGCCGCCGGTGCTCTTCACCCAACCAAGGTAATTTTTTATTATTATTGTAAATAATTAAAAAAAAATTATTATTATAATTTTTTATTATGTCCAAATTTTTTAATTAATTATTGTAAATACACGTGATTAATATTTTTTAGGATGCATGTGGGTAGTTAGCTAGTTAGTTAGTAGTTTATTTATTTTATATTAGGTATTAGTACTATATATATTTCATAAGCATGGGCAAATTTTTTTTTTTGTGTTGTTTTGTAAAGCAATAGCTAAAATGGTATTGTTTTGTAAAACATCGGGCAATTAAATTAAATTAACTAATTAATTTTTTGGTGTGCTTAGTTAAATTATTATATTTTAACTAATGTGCCTCATTATTAATTAATCTGGATTGATGATTTAATTATCTCCTTAATCTTTTGAAGATTGATGGCGGCTAAAAATAATGTCAAAGTGTACATGTACTTTGGAGGTCACATAATTCCTGATGATTGGGTAGTGCAATATAGTATAGCCCACAAGACAGCATTTCGAATTAAACGTGACCTGTCATTTGCACATTTTCTGTCAAAGTTGTATCAACATCTAGATGTCGATGTTAATCAGTTTGGGCTAAGAGTGTGTTGCAAATCTTACATTTATAATGGAGAAAGAATGGAAGAGATGATTACCGAGATAATAACAGATGAAGATTTACAAATGTATATCGATCCGGACGAAGGGAATGAGGCAATCGAAGTATTTGTTGAGATTGAACCGAAGTACATTGATAGTGCCCCACCACAAGTGAGCGTAGAGGCATTTGATTTGAATGAACCATATTTCTCACAACCACAGGTGACTCCGGATTTTCTGGCGGCGACACAAAGCATCGCTAACTATTGTGAGACTAGTGGAGCGAGAGAGGTGCACAGAGATCCCTATACAATTAACTATGGTAATTTAGGGGGATTTGTTGGTGAGTGAAGTTCCCCGAGACGGAGCATTTTCGAAGGTGACTCATTTGGGCCGAACAGTCCTGTGAATTCCGAACCATCCGATGACGGAGACGACGACAATGAAGATGAAGACGTACAAGATGATGTTCGGGAGACGTGGTTGCAGCACAACGAGGCGGAAGCAGAGGAACAACCGACGTTGTGTGAGTCAATCCCATTTTTCTCGATGCCGTTTTCAGAAGTGGCGGCAAATTCAGTTGATGTTGGAAGGGCCCGATATGATAAGTTTTACGATAGCGATCGAGGTATTTTTGAGGTCGGGATGGTGTTTGAGGACAAAAAACGCCTTTGCGCCGCGGTGAGAGACCATTCGATTCGATTTGCTAAACGGGAATTCACGGTTGTCGAAAGTAAGCCGAAGCTATGGAGTGTCAAGTCCAAGCATAGCACACCTGAAAGGCCTTGTAGATGGTCGTTGCGGGGAATTGAAAAATTGGGCAAAGGATTCTTTCTTATTACGAGATATGGTACTGGGCCCCACAATTGCATAATGGATGAAATGTCGAATGAACATAAGAATTTGGACATGAACTACATTGTTGCCTTATTGGTTCAGTCCGTTCGAGATGACCCACCTTGCAAAATAACACAAGCACATAATATTGTGAGGTCTCAATTAGGATTTCAACTTTCAAAGATGCAAGCTTGGTATGGTTTGAAGCGTTGCAGAGATAACTTGTTCGGGAGTTGGGAGTCCTCAGTGAACAAATTGCCCAAGTTTATGAAGACACTCCATAAAACGAACCCGGGTACCAATTGAGTGGGTTTTCAAACCAACAGACATTCTAACACGGAAGATGATCAAGTACTTCTTTTGGGCCTTCAAGCCATGCTTGGACGGATTCAAGTTCTGTCGAAAAGTTATTAGTGTGGATGGAACTCATCTCTACACTAAGTACAAGCACAAGTTACTAATTGCCGTTTGTTTGGACGCCAATAACCAAATGCTACCACTAGCATTTGCTCTTGCTGACAATGAAACCACGGCGGCTTGGAGGTGGTTTTTTCAAATGCTACACAGACACCTAATTTCTCAAATTCCAGATGGAGAAAGTGTTTGTGTAATTTCAGACCGAGCTCCGGAAATTTTATGAGCATTAGCGGAGTTGCCCGAATTTGCTCCCCCTAATGTTTTTCACAGGTTTTGCTTGAGACACGTGTGCTCCAATTTCAACAAACATTTTAAGAGTGTTGATTTGAAGGATCTATGCTATAAGGCGGGAGCGGAGTCTCAAATTCGGAAGTTTAACCACATTCTTAATGTGATCAAAACTCGGAGTGTTGAAGCTTATATTACAACTATTTGAAGGATATTGATCAAGAAAAATGGGCATTTGCACATGATGGGGGCAAGCGTTGTGGTCAACTTACTACAAACATGTCAGAAGCTCATAATAGTGTTCTCAAGGGAACTCGAAAACTTCCCATCTCAACAATTGTTGACCTCACATTCAACCGCATTGTTAGGTATTTTCTTAATCGTCTCCACGAGGCCAATGTGATGGTTCAGAATGGACAGTTGTGGTCCACATATGCTTATGGCATTTACCGGACACATGAAGCCAACTCTGTTAGATGTTTCACGACTCGTTTTAATCAACAACAGCTCTCTGCTGAGGTGATGACTAAAGCTCATCCAAGTGGAGGTGGAAATAACAAACACACCGTGAATTTAAGGGACCAAACTTGTACTTGTGGAAAATGGAAGCTAACAGGAATGGATGTTGTTTGCCTCCGTATATGTGAACGATTGCTACACTGTTGATCGATTAGTGAACACTTATTCTGGGATATTCCAACCCCTGTTGAGTGAACACTATTGGGAGGATGTTGCTTTTGAACTAATTCATAATCCAACACTACTAGGGGATAGAAGACGCAGTCGAATTCCTAATGAGATGGATGTGCCACAAACACAGGCAAGACAACAATCTAGAAGAGAGGGAACAAGCAAGACGGCTCCGATAGTATAATTTATGTAGTTCATTGCACTTTGTATTATTTATATTGTTATTTTCTAGTTTTCACGTCGGACTAAGTAGTGTCTAATTATCGTGTTTGACTTTGTATTTGTTATTGCACTTGTACTTATTATCTGAGTTTATCTATGTATTATTGTGTATTTGTTATTACACATCTGCTTATTATCTGAGTGTTCTATTTTTAGTGTGTATTTATTATTATACTTGTGCTTATTATCTGAGTGTTCTATGTATATTATTATACAAGATGGATGTCAGCTATGTTTATGGTCCGCGGGACACTTCATTGCTATACCGCCAGTCAGAGCATGTATCCACATCGATTACATCGGCAAACATGGAAGATATTGTGCGCGGGAGACGCTGTGATGGTTGGATTTGGGGTTTATATGGAGATGATGGTGATGATGATCCATACCCTAGAGTGATGCAGTACTTAATTGATACTAGGTTCTATGGAGTATATCGATATGGTCGTCTCGTAGTCGATTTGCATCTTATTGCAGCTTTAGTGGAGAGATAGCGCCCGGAGACACACACTTTTCATTTTCGAGCAGGGGAGGCGACAGTGACACTTGAGGATGTCGCACTATTATGGGGTTTGCCTGTTGATGGACTACCTGTTACTGGACAGCATATTTCATGGTCGAAGAAGCAGTGGCAGGATTATTGTCAGACGTGGTTGGGATATGCTCCTTCAGATGGTGCTATCAAAGGGAGACGGCTCTTTGCAACTGATCTGGCCATACATTTACGACATTGCACGATTACTGATGACAGCATGGAGCAGCGTGTTCAGCAGCATACCAGGTGTTTATTGTTATTGCTACTTGGGGGGGGGGGGGGGGGTTATGTGTCCTGACACATCTTCAAGTGCAATCTAGTTGTTGTATCTTCGTCATTTCGAAGATCTTGAGGCAGTGCGTACTTTCAGTTGGGGTAGTGCAATTCTTGGATATTTGTATCGTGAGCTATGCACTAGGGCTTTACTTAGGAAAGTTGTGGAACAAGGCGACACTGTTGAGTTGGATAAGAGGAAATCTAATCTAGGTGGTGCTCTTACTCTGTTACAGGTAATATGATTTTTGATACTTTTAAAATTTAAATTAATAGTTTATTGTACTTGCGGTTTTTGATATTTTGTATGTTTAATGATTAGTGTTGGGCATGGTCGAGGATACCTTTACTCGCTTCAGCAATACTACCAGTAGTAGAAGATGATCCCCGTCGGCTTGCATATCCTCACCCTCCTTACGGTGCACGGTAAACATCTTAGTACTAATAATTTATTCATATGAAGGTTAATATATTGACTTAGCAAATTTTCATATGATATAACAGTTGGATCAGACCTACTAGTTACACTCGGTCCTTGCGAAACAATATACGTATTTATCGTACGACGCTTGATCGGATGCTCTGGGATCAGGTTATTTATAAGTTAACTGCAATTACGTTAATGTTTGTGGTCTATTTAACAATATATTCAAAAATATATTTTTTTCTAGTTTACATGGATGCCTTATAGTGAACTAGACCTTGAGTTTGACGCTTTACTTGAGTATCCTGAGATAGTGCATCCACAGTTTTGGTTGTCGAGTTGTCCCCTTATATTTTACGAGAGAGTTGAGATGCATCGTCCGTATAGGGTGCTACGTCAGTTTGGGAGGATACAATATATACCACCACATCCTACTGATCACGATATTGAGATTAAGTTGCATTCTTATGATCGTCGAGGTGCATGGGGTAGAGATTGGGCTCGTTTTCACCGTATCTATGTTGATAGATGGCATGGCCGACTTGATTCTCCCGTTGACTATCCATTTATTGAGTTTAGTGGGCCTCAGACAGATCCAGGATACTACGAGTGGTATGAGAGGAACACACGTCGTTTGATATCACCGATAGACAATCTTGATGATATCGGTTTTCAGGTCGGAGACCCGATTTTACTGGATCTTGTGGTCAGTATTTTTCTCAAAACAACAATTACTTTCGATGTTTTTCAATTTGTTTTTTCAGTTTTTTAAGTTCTTAAACTTGTAATGCCCTTTATTTCAGGGTAATCAACTTATATCCATGAGTCTTGCTGCTAGGGCAGTTTCTCGAGATGACGATCGGATATATGATCTGTATCAGAACAACGCTACACGAATGTATGCAGCTGGGACTCAACTTCTACGTAGAGATGGTGCTTCGTCCAGCTTACCTCCGATACCTACCATACCTCCTATACCTTCTCCGCATCGAGATAGACGTACCAGAAGAAGGTCCAGCGCTGCCGAAAGAGCTACTGAATTGGAGCATGACGTGAGACAGACGAGAGAGGGGAACTATTATGCATCTACATCTCGGGTACCTCCATCTGGAGATATTGCCGGTCCATTTGCTTCTCATACACCCTTTTATGCAGATGTTTCTGCGCATGGAGGTATGGACGATTTTTTTACTTCACAGGGATTTATGGATATGTTCGGTGCGTCTACATCTCAGGTACCCACATTTACAGATTTAGTTGGTCCATCTACGAATGATTACGTTCCAGATATGCCATGGTCCGATTCTCTAGCTACCCCATATCCTCCTGCTATTGATATTCGGTTCTCTTCATGGGGTCCACATTTGGAGCTCAATTTGGGATACTCAAGTCCCCAAGAGCGGATCCGACCACAATATAATGTTTCTCATGTTCCATATCCACCGGATGGCACCCAGTTTGTTGATGATGTACCGGCAGATCCTGAAATTCGTCGAGATGGTAGGCCGCGTAGGACTAGACGGGCACTTGCATGTGGCACTGGTTCACATAGGCACTGACTTCATAGTGCCAATTTTATTTTCTTGTACTCATTTTGTTTTTGTACTCATTTTGGACCTATTTATTTTATATAACTCTTTTATAGGACTTACTTATTTTATATAACTCTTTTATTTTCTAGAACTCCTTTTGTTTTTGTCTACATGTTTTTAAGATTGTACACTATTTTATTGTGTTGATTAGATAAATATATGTAATGATGAAATTAACACTAATGGATAAAATATATAAAATGTAATAAATTTAATATTAACATCAAACTAATGAATTTAGTTAGAATTGTTTTATTTTGTAAAAAAAATTAAAAATCAAAAAATATTAAAGTATTAAAATATAAATATTTAAAATATTAAAATATTAAAATATTATAATATTAAAATAATTAAAATATTAATATTTAAAAAATAGGGAGAAGACGCCACCGGTGGCGGCGTCTTCAGCCGTGCCGCCGTTGGAGCTGGCGTCTTCTGTTGGTGTCGCCGCCGGCGGTGGCGCCTCCTGCCGGTGCCGCCGTGGTGAGTGGCGCTCAACCCCAATTCCGTTACACCCCCAAAACAACCCCATTTTAAAAACTACAACCCAAAACTACAAAAAAAAAAAAAAAAAAAATTGCCCCTTTATAAGTGTTTGTGGTGTATATGTGTTTTTTCTCTGAATTCTCCTTGTGTGCTCATTTTGTGTAAGTGTGTCCTGAGGGTGTGTGTGTGTTTTCTCTACAACTGGCCACCTTTTTCCTAACCTAAAAGATTATATTTATACTAGGAATTAATAGGCTTCTTCTTGCCACATGGAACATTTCATAGGCCCAAATCGCCGCCAAGTTACTACCATACTTTACTACGTGGACGGTTGTCATTGATTTTTTTATCTGCCGCTTTCATGTACTAGCCTGCCGGATGTCCTTTTCATGTTAGTATTCTTCCCTTACTTTTTATTTTTTCGCGAGGTAAGTACAAGACTCCATACGAGATGTAAAATTACCTAGCTGCCCAGGCGACGGGACTTTCAATGGAGCGAGGTTATTCCCTTGCCAGACATTTTTTCCGGGGTGAAAGCGTTGGGCTTTTCTTAGGACTTATGGGCTTTTATTCCTTTAAGTTGGGTCTTAACTAAACTAGGCTCATCCATTAGTAGAGGCAAAATGACCCGGATCATCCATATAAGTGCACCCTATTCCCTTATGTGGGTAAAACAAGAAAGAGACGAAAAAGAGAATACTTTGTGTATTTTGAGACGAAAAATGGAAGTGAAAGAGAGAACTTTTTTTGAAAAAAAAAAAAACTTGATTCTTTTCGGTGAATTTGAGCTTAGTTCTTTAGGAAAAACTGGTGAGATTAGGGCTTGAATTTGGGTTTCATTTTTTCTTGTTTTTTCATTGGAATACACTATGTATGTGCATTTGTGTGGCTGCCGTGAGTACTAGGAGGCTCCACTTGGATCTTGATGAGGACTGAGCGAGGAAATCGAACCGTCATCGAAGCAGCCGCCGGAATTTCCTCTATTGCAGAACTTTGTGTTCTGCCCACGGTCCAATTTTTCTTTTTCCTTTTATTATTTTTTCTGTTTTTCCCTTTTGTTATGAATGAAATTATGAGATTACAATTGTTGAAACAGTTAATTATTGTTGTCGTGATTAGTTGCTCTTAATTAGTGGTATAATTGCTGAACGATACTTATACCTCTATTAGTAATGCTTATGCCTATATTAATGTGTTGCTGCATATTGTCTACAATTAGTTGGTCTCTTTAGATTAGGATTCTAGATTATATATATCCAACACTTTTAATATTATAATTTATGTTAATTGCTTTCAATAAAATATTGGTATAATGGCTTTGTTGGTATAATGGCTTTGTGTATTGTTTCAGAGCCATAATCCAGACTTAATCATGTGGTGGAAATTGCCGGAACCCTCGGTGCCGAAAGAAAAATGCTACAAATTTTTTATTTTTCATTTTACGAAATTCGGATATTATCATATCCAAAACTAGACTCAAAGTAGGAACTTATGAATTGCACAAAAATTCACCTCCAACAAAATTAAGATTGTTAGTATTTCATCAATTCAAAACAACAATAAAATATTGGGATAATTGTTGAGCGCGTGACCCAGTGATGATGTGGCGGGCGGGGGCAAAGGTGGAAAGCATAATAGCTCAAAAATAGGTGTGGGTTTTTTTCAAATGGACTGAAATATTTTGGACCTTTCTCCATTAAAAAAAGTAATGAGGGGGTTTCCTCAAAGAGCCCCTAAAATATTTGAATCAACACACTTTTCATCTTCTATGGTTGAGAAGTAATTATCTTATTGGGATCATCTTTACTGGAAAATAAAAATAAAACAATCATGTTGATAACGTGTTGAGAAACTAATAAAGAAAGAACAAAGTAAAGGGGAATTGAGATAACAATGTATAGAGAAAACAAGTATATTATTCTCTTGTTCTTATTGTGCACAAAACTCTTTCTAATACACACTTTGAGTGGTGAATATAAATTATATAGGATAAGAAATACCACTCAAAGAATATAAATTATATAGGACAAGAAATACCACTCAAAGAATATAAATTACAACTCTTTAATAGTGGTGAATAATGGTACTTAATGGTTATGAGTAGTGATAGACATTCACCATATTATACAATTCATAACAATATGAATCATTAGAACAAAAAACCAATATTATATACCAAAACTAAAATATAATGTGTTTTTACTCCCATATTTCATGGCAATTAAATAGGAACTATATATAGTAAATATAAAATAAAATAGTAATTTGGATAACCACATTTTGAATTTAATAGGGTAAATAGCACTTAACCCCCCTGTGGTTTCCAAATTTTGCACTTTACCCCCTTCATATATCAATTTGGTCATTTTACCCCCTTGTGGTTGACAAGTTGTAGCGACCGTCTGATAAACCGTTAAAGTTAACGGAAAGTGCAGTTCACTCGCCTAAATTTGTAGTGGTTGAGGGTTTTCAAGTTAAAATATTATATTAAAACCTCTTTTACCCCTTTTTCCTTTAATAAAAACTCTACAGCCATCCTTACTTTTCTTTTAATTAGAAAAGCATTACAGATTCATCTTTAATTTCTATATTAATTATTTTTAAGATGTTATATTAATTATTTATAAAATACTCATCTAATTTTTTTTATAATTATTTTATATTTTCAATAAATCTTTGTTAAGTTAGTTGTACTTTTCGCCTTTACATTTGAACAAAAATTAAAACGTATGTGTATATATATATATATATATATATATATATATATATATTTATTTATAATATATATATATATTATAAATTGCAACATTAGAAGGGAATATGAAAACTTATGTTTATGCTGAAAATAGTAGTAATATACTACTACTGAAAAATTATTTTATTTCCTTCGTGTTTTTGCTTAAAAAAATGAATTTTATATTTTTTTATTCTAAAAAAGAAACAACTTCAATTTGCCCTGAAAATTTGCTTTTATTTTCTCCATTTTGCTTACGAAAAGGGAAGCTGAATGGGCACAAAACTCGACTGCAAAAGCAAATATTCAAGAAACAAAAAGTCGCCTGAATTCATTAATTTACAGACCATAAAAGGGATTATAGTAACAATAATACTAATTTGAAGAAAAACAATAAAAATCAAGCAAATATCTTAAATTTCTACAACAAATTGACTATTAAAAGAAACCAATACACATGGTAAAGTGTATTTGCTATAGTGTTGGAATACTCGAAAAATAATAAATCTCTATATTGAAAAAAACAAAGGACAATTTTTTTTTTTAGGTTACTATAGTATTGGAATACGAAAAATAATAAATCTCTATATTAAATTATAGGGAGTTTTATGAAACAGCGGGGGGTCATGGCCCCCTGTTTCAATTTGAAAATACTCGTCCCCTTCAAAGAGTATTTTTAGATTTCGATCATATAAGAAATTAATTTATACTAAGAAAAATAAGTTTATTGTATGAAAAGGGAATATGTGTTAATAATACAAATTGCTAAAAGGGAATATGAAAACTTCTGTTTATGCTGAAAATAGTAGTAATATACTACTACTGAAAAATAATTTTATTTCCTTCGTGTTTTTGCTTAAAAAAATGAATTTTATATTTTTCATTCTAAAAAAGAAACAACTTTAATTTGCCCAGAAAATTTGCTTTTATTTTCTCCGTTTTGCTTACGAAAAGGGAAGCTGAATGGGCACAAAACTCGACTGCAAAAGCAAATATTTAAGAAACAAAAAGTCGCCTGAATTCATTAATTTACAGATCATAAAAGGGATTATAGTAACAATAATACTAATTTGAAGAAAAACAATAAATTATAAAAATCAAGCAAATATCTTAAATTTCTACAACAAATTGACTATTAAAAGAAACCAATACACATGGTAAAATATATTTGCTATAGTGTTGGAATACTCGAAAAATAATAAATCTCTATATTGAAAAAAACAAAGGACAAATTTTTTTTTTAGGTTACTATAGTATTGGAATACAAAAAGTAATAAATCTCTATATTAAATTGTAGGGAGTTTTATGAAACAGCGGGGGGTCATGGCCCCCTGTTTCAATTTGATAATACTCGTCCCCTTCGAAGAGTATTTTTAGATTTCGATCATATAAGAAATTAATTTATACTAAGAAAAATAAGTATATTGTATATCCATGTGTTAATAATACAAATTGCTAAAAGGCTCTACGTAATGACAATATTAACCAAAAAAAATCCTTATCATACTTTTTTTTAGCACTAATGAGATTTTAGAAGCTAGTGTGCTAAAATAATTGCATTGTATGGATTTTTCGCTGATATTAATTGATGACACGAATATTTTAGTTAGAATTAGGTGAAAAATAAGCGGTGTGTGCTGAATGCAATAAATCCCTAAAATATGAAAATATTAAATTGCAAAAAACCAAAAATAATTTTTTTTTTAATTTGTTCTTCTTCTTACCTCCAGTAGCTCCATCAACTTTAACGAAGAGAGACTCTTTGCAAGATTTTTTTTTTTTAAC